CTTTAGCACTAATGTCTTTTTTCCATTGATGAAAAACAGTAACATAGGCCGAAATTACTACCCGATCAGGTGAGGTTCATTTAAAAGTGAAAAAAAAGGGTCAGCTGACCTCGAAGATGCTCAGGGTTCTGATGCAGTTTTTGTGTTTTGTCTCCTCAGAGTCAGAGACAAAGAGGAGGCCGGTTCGTTCGCTCTCTCTGTCATGTATGGGAAAACAGTTTACCACTACCAGATCATCCTGGACAAATCTGGGAAGCTGTCCATGCCAGAGGGCACAAAGTTTGACACGATCTGGCAGGTCGGTCTAACATTGTCATTTGTTTGGCATCTCTTTGGATTTCTTCTAAAACAAATGTCTTTTTTTTTTCTTTTGTTTTGGTCACCGTTCAGCTGGTTGAGTAYCTGAAGATGAAACCTGATGGTCTGGTGACTGTCCTCAGTGAGGCCTGCGTCAATGGCAGAACTTCTGAGAGTACGACACATCTTTTTCTTTTTTTTTTTAACGAGGTTCTACTTCACGTTTATCCGTGTCACGCAGTGCTTCTCAGATCTTTAACACTAATCTTTTCTTTTCACATTTCAGAGACTCCCCGTCTTCCTGCAACAGTAAGTGTTCACTTTATCCTTTTCTGTTTAAGTCTGCATTCTTTTCATTCTCTGAGATCTCCTTTGAACTTTTCCTTCAGAGGGGAGCTGGGGCAAACGGTTACACACCGCCACCTCGAGGTCAGTCCCTCACATCACAGCTCACACAGTCCCAAACAAACAGGATCCACATGAAAGGGGGGCTTCTCATGCAAAATCCACTTTTTTAGCTGTTAAATGCATTTTGTTGTGTACTTGGAGTCTCTAGGAGTGCAGAAAAGTTTAATTTAATCTCTCATGGTGCTGCAAAGWTATCTTTATATTCTGTTTGGGTCRYATTTTTCWGCYTGTTCAGTTTTATCTATTTTTTATGACGTTTTCCGAGTCTATTACGTCAAATTATCTGTGACAGATTTGCCAAAAAAGGTCGGGACTTACTTGTCATTTTCTCCTTTTTTTTTTTCTTCTGGTTCTGGGTCAGACTCTGGCTCCAACATGTAAGGCTGGATAAACAAGTCTTCTGTTTCTGACATCCTTTATTAAATTGTAAAACAAAATTGTGGACCGGTCTGGAAGCCRGAGGGGGGCGGGGCTTGAAGCATCTTAAAGGAACAGTGACAAAACCAGCTGCTTTGAGACACCAGAAAAGGGGTGAAAGAGGAGTTGGTGAAGTTAGAATAAGGACGAATTCAGACCAAAACGTTGTGGCTCCACTTTATAAAGACCCCAACTGAATGATTTAAATGTGAAAAGGAAAGATTTAAAAGCAGGATGCATTTTGTTCCTGAGCACAAGATTTATCCTTGAGTGGTTTAAAAAAACACTTGAAAAGACAAACAAAACAAGAATTAGTAGATTAGTAGAACAAAAACTGATTTAAAGTATAGAAGCAAAAATACAACCAGAAAATATAGAAAATGGTTTTATTTATTTATTGCAAAAATTCAGAGTGAATATTAAATGTCTCAAAAATGGGGTTGTTAAAAGCTAAAGTGAGCAGAACAACATGAAGTAAAAGTACGTTTCTCTCATGCTTTGAACATATTTTATTANGGGGGGAGGACCAGGGAGGATGATTCAACCACTCAACCACTAGATGTCGCTGAAAACAACAAATCATACACACTGTGCCTTTAAAACAAAAATACATAAGACAAATTTGATGTGTGTCCAAGGACATTTTATACTCAGAATTTAATAAATCATAGGTCAGCCTGCCTCAAGTTTATATTTAGATTATATGTTAATCACCCAGCCCCACTGCTCATGCTGCTGATAAGACCATAATATACTGGGATTTTCTCTGGCAATAGATTTAATATAATGCCATACTATAGTAATTACTACATTATATTAAGAGGGAAAATGTTGCGCAGAAGTATAACCTTACCTCTATTTTGCATTTTCAGGTTGCTATTTTAGGCACTAGTTCCAACATTTGAGCAGGTAAAAGTTCTGGACGAGTTTGACCTTTTTCTGATTAGAAGTTGGTACCTCACAAAACAAAATAAACATTTTAAAATGTACAACAGTCCAAACTTTAAACTTTTATAACCTGTCCCATCATTTACTTTTCTTTTGTTTGCCCCCAAACAATCCCACAAACCATTGCGCGCCGCTTCCAGTGGACAGCGCTAAAAAGTATCCGCGAAATAGTCCATTGCTGTATGTATTAGCTTGGTGCTAGAGCAAAAGCTAACAGGCTAAACTGAGGTTCTCCTGTCCCTGAAGCAGCTCTGTTGTCCTCCATCTGCATTTTCAGTTTCAGGCTGAGTCGTTTTTACATTCTCCTCTCTGTCAAGGCACTCTAGTTTCATTTAAGAAGGCTGAATGTCAGATATTGTCCAAGATTAACCTCCAGGGTGGATAAGAGCTCCCACAGCCTCGCACCTGGAACCAGATGTCTTATTACCCAGTATGCTTTGCGCTATGTTTAGATGGAAGGTCAAATTTATTTTTGATATATACAGCATTTTTATAACAACGCATATAGTTATTGATTGTGGTCTAGAATTGAAGTGTGTGACTGGAAAACCACAAGTGAACCTGCAGTCTGAGAGCGGAGTGATGTACAGTATTTGTAAAATATGCAACAATGAGATAAGATGGAGCTTTTTCATTCAGAGCTTTGTTTGTTAGAAGAAATATCTTAAATTCTGCAAAGAAAAGCGCTAAAATTGTAGAAATATGATGCCACATTAGAACATCAGCAGCAAGCGTTTTGTATCAACTGAAGACTTTTGAGAGGGTTTTCAACATTCAGATAATAAAGAATTACAGTACTTCTAGGATGAAGAAATACGTGAACCGATTTTTCTGCATTGTCTTGGAACAAAATATTTCTGGTTTCAGTGATCATTTGATTTGATTTGATCTGATTTATTTATTTAACAGGAAAAGATTACTAAAAATCAAGCCTGACTCAGCATAATTGCTGTTTTACAGCAGGTTCCTGTTCTGCAGCACATAAAATACTGAGAATTACAGCATCACAATCACATCATTATACACCATAGACACAAAGACAAACAACCATACCGAATTTCAAAAAAGGCAGCATTTGAAAAATGGGACGTCTAACTA